GATATTGTACACCTGAAACTAATATAACACTGTATGTTAACTATACTGGAATTAAAAGTAAAAACTTAATTAAAAAAATTTTTTCTAGGGACACATATATGTGTGTGTTTGTGTATATATAAATATAACTCATAGAAACAGGTCTGGAGGAGCGCCTGGGTGGCTCAGCCAGTTAAGCGTCTGCCTTAGGCTCAAGTCATGATCCCGGGGTCCTGGGATGAGTTCCACATCAGGCTCCCTGCAGAGCAGGGTGCCTGCTTCCCCATCTCCCTCTGCCTGCCGCTCCCCCTGCTTGTGTGCTTTCTCTGACAAATAAATAAAATCTTAAAAAAAAAAAAAAAGAAAGAAAGAAACAGGTCTGGAAAGGCAACGCAGCAGGCTGTTAAGACAGTTAACTTCGGGAAATGCAGCTTCACTTTTACCTAATCGAGTGGTTCTCAATCCTGCCAGTTTGAAGGCATCACCCAGAGGAGCTTTTAAGGGATTCCTATGCTCAGGCCTCACCCTCTAAGATTCTGATGTAAGTATACAAAAAGTTCTGTATACTTATCGTTTGGGTAATTTTATCTTTTGGGTAATTTTAAAAACTATTAAGTACCTAGAAAAAATTATTTCTAGATAAGATGACCAGCTTATTTTATAGCAGACTAAGTAAATCCAAGATGAAGCATATCCTCAAAGAAAAAAAGGAAACATGAGCTGATAAAATGAGAGTCTGAATTTTGAAAGCAACCACTTCACACTTACTTTGTCACCAACATGGGATAAATGAGTTAATGCCATCCTCTCCAAACCTGACCAAACCACAACCTGGGAGTCGAGCTAACAGTTACGGGAGATGGCAGCAATGCAGAAAGAGAACAGATGGGTCACAGAAACTCTGCCAGGCTAGGTTTACCCCTACCAGTCACCTTTAAATCCCAGATAGGGAAAGTGACCAGAGTTTAACCTGAAGCTACAACTTAAGAACTACACTTTTACCTACTACTTCAGTCAGCCACAGTTATTGTCCAACACAGCATCACTGGTAACAGAAAGCGAAGCTTCAGATCTCTTACAAATGTTCTTACCTATGGAGTTGATAATAAGATTTCAAATAAGTAGAAAATTCAGAGGGATAAAATGCAAGCTAACTTTACCATGAAAACAAATGAGGTCTTACGAAAACAGGCATATACGGAAAACATGGATTCTCCAAACCTCATTACCTAAGATAGTTTGGGATGATACTGCATTTGACCCTAATACTTTCAAGACAAGCACCTAACAGTTTGCACAGATTTAGGTAAAGCCAGATTCTACATTTGAACAAGAAAGTTCTATTTTCATCTCTTCACTTATTACCACACAGGCAAGGAAACAGTTTCATCACATTTACAGAACTGCTTTCTGATGGACAGGGAACTGCTCATTTCTAAAACAGGTTACAAAACTGACCACATATGGATCCACAATTTTAGTTGCTAAAATCAACTCCATCTTGTCTTCCACTTGCCTAAGGGTATGAAGTTAGCTATCTAAAGTGAGAGGCTGGCTCTTATCTCTAGACCCAGGCAACAGGCAGCTAAAGATTGAAGGTACAGTCAGGCCTGTGACCCAGAGATAAAATTCAGAGTACTGTTTTTGGGATGTCTTGTAGACAACTTGCCAGTACACACATGTGAATAACGTGGGGGTAGAATCTGTCCTCCTTTCTCTGAAAGGAGATAGCAATGAAGTTGATCTGAATCAGATTTTGGAAAGCAGAAAAAAAAGTCAAGTTCCTAGCAGAAACATATTCTCTGCTGCAAGTTTTAAATTTCCAAGTGGTGGTTCTCAATCCTGGCTACAAAGAAGAATCACTCGCAGACTTTTAAAACTGGACGCCAGGGTCCGAGGACCCAACCCAGACCTAAAGAATCAGAAAGAATCCCTAAGTAAGAGCTCCACACATCCCTATTTTTAAAAAAGAGCCTCAGGAACTTCTGATGCACAAGCCAGAGCTGAGAACAACTGCCGAGAACTACTGTCAAGACACATTTCAAAATGGACAAGACCATTATATTAGTTAAATGGCTCAAATCCAGAACTCGGGATCACAGAGTCAACAAGAGACTTGGAAACTTAATCCAGTGTCTCAGTTCTTCCACATCTCCCTAACAGAAAAGTCTCTACCAAATTACACATCTCAGTCTTTCCCCCCTTTCTAAATTAAAGGCCACAAGTTTTTCAGTTAAATAATTTGGCTTCATCGACATTTCTAGCTTTAGTTCTAACAGGTGGCACAACCTAGAGGTCAGAATACCAGCCAGGAAGTTTCTGCTGCTGATTCATGCTGTAATCACAAGCAAGTTGCTTACCCATCACTCAGAGTAGTTGACAAGCACCTCTGGAGGGGCAACATAGGGCCTCACTATAGAAACAACTGACAACAAATTGAATCCAGCTGAAATTAGTAATTCTTTTTTTTTTTTTTTAAGATTTTATTTATTTGACAAAGAAAGACACAGCTAGAGAGGGAACACAAGCAGGGGGAGAGAAGGAGGCTTCCTGCAGAGCAGGGAGCCCAATGTAGGGCTCAATCCCAGGACCCTGGGATCACAACCCGAGCTGAAGGCAGACGCCCAATGACTGAGCCACCCAGGCACCCCTGAAATTAGTAATTCTGAACGAAAGGAAGAGAGAGATGATATCAAGAATGACACGTGCCAAGGTACCTGCCTGTTAAGTGAATTTATACAAAGGGCAATTTATAAATATTGCCTAGGACTTTTTTTTTAAGATTTTATTTATTTATTTGACAGAGTGCTCGCTTCGGCAGCACATATATTTATTTGACAGAGACAGAGAACAGAGAACACAAGCAGGGGGAGCGGCAAAGGGAGAGGGAGAATCGGGCTCCCTGCTCAGGACCCTGGGGCTTGATCCCAGGACTCTGGGATCATGACCTGTGCCGAAGGCACTTAACTGACTAAGCCACCCAGGCCCCCTGCCTAGGACTTCTTAAGAATTCACTTGAGGGGCACCTGCATGGCTCAGTTAAGCATCGAACTCCTGATTTCAGCTCAGGTCATGATCTCAGGGGCGTGATCGAGCCGTGCCAGGCATGGAGCCCGCTTAAGATTCTCTCTCAGGCGCCTGGGGGGCTCAGTTGGTTAAGCGACTGCCTTCGGCTCAGGTCATGATCCTGGAGTCCC